TAAATCATTGTACCAAACGCATAGTTGACTTGTTAACTCTGAAATCATGGATTTATTCGAAATTTTCTGCTCGATAAGCCCTCAATGGGCGATTAGGCCGAAGTAGTTCTCTACCCTAGGGTGTATTGAGAGATGAATATGGGCAAGACAAAAACGCTAATATCATCACAACAACAACAGGATTTTTGATTGTTGTCATGACAACCCCTTACTATTTTTTCAGCCTTTGGACAATTACAACCAAAGTTAGAGCATTGTAAGTGAAAATCAATAATTTCCCATACTCATCACAAATTATCACTTCAATCGACGCTCACTCACAGAAACTAACAACACCAGCTAGTTGGGGAAAGATTCCCCTACCTGATGATGGTATTTGTTTGCGTGGGTGAGTTAGCAGTTAAGACAAATCGTCGATGGAAGTGATTGTTTACAAAAGCAGATACGTCGATTGCAATAGTTACGCTTGAAATATTATAACATTCTTGTAACATGCTATAAATCTTTTGTGTGAACAAGGCATAAGACTGATATGCGACTAATACCATGTTCAGACATGTTTATAACATGTTACAAATGCTCAGTCTACCCAGCGTTTAATATAAAGTTTGAAAGCCTTATATCAACCATATATTGCACACACAAAATGACGATTAGCGGGCTTTGTGGTTACTTGGTTACTAGAAATAAATACTTTTACACGAGACGTAATCCATATTGGACGTAAATTATGGAACGCAAAGACACATTTCATGTAAAATTAAGTCGACAGTGAGCATGCATAAGGGCGTAAACGCGATGATCGATTCTCTTCGTCGATTTTCTCTTTTGTTAATAACTCGCTAGATTTAACGTTTCTCGGTGCGTTTGCTGTTGCTTTTGATAGCCAATACAACCGGTTACAACTCTGCATTGAACAAATTCTAGAAAATTGTTTCGCTTAGCTGTAGCAATCTTTGCAAAATCGATGAAGAGAATCGACCATCGCGTATTCGTCCTTATGCATGCTCACTGTGATGATTTATTAGCTAGAGAATGATCTTTAGAAGAGGGTAGGTGGATAGTTCCGTTAGAGTACGGCAGTATGAAAATTGAATAGAAGTTGAAAATGAGCGAAGGGCCATTAATGCGACAGTTTTTCAAGATAGACGCACATTTTTGCCTAACCCGTACGATGTACGCGGGGACTTGAAGTATGTCTCCAAGTCCACAGGCAAAAATGTGCGTCCCTCTTGCTGCTCATAAACTGACTGCGGCTGTGGAATAGTTCTAGCGACGTTTTCATCACTACCTAAAGCCCCACGTTGCGAGAGCATTTCCAGTCGATGGTGTGTTATAATGCACATGCATCGGAATATACGGAACTATCAACTCTATGCTTTCATGTACTCCATCTATCGTATAAAAATTACCACTACAGTCTGTTATTTGAAATTAGCATCTTCAACTATGCCTTTTTATACAGTGTTTATGAATTTGCTATTTAAAAAAATCAAGAAATTTGAGTTTAACTTCGTTTTTAAAAAAGTTCTTTTTCCACGCATTAGCTATTCATCATGGCTCATTTCCTCGGAAATCATTGACCCGATTTGGAAATTTTTTAACGTCAAAATATAGGTATTGTGGTCTCATTGAAAGCTATCGAATATTTTTGGAATCGGTCAACTGGTTCCGGAGATATGTCCGGAACAAGTTCCAGGGTATATGGAACATGGACCTAAATTTGACATGGAAGGAATAAAACCTATCATGCGACACTTCACATTACTTCCAAATTCGATAACAAGATCAATAACATAATTGAGTGCCTAGGACCACATTGGCCACTTCCGGGCATGTTCTGGGTGCCCCCGGGGAATTTAGGGGCTTAAAATGACAGAATATCAGAACACAATTCCGCTTTTATAGTTTTTTTTTCTCCTAGGAGTTTTTTTTCGGAAATAAGTTTCAGTTAGCAATTATTAGTTTGTTAACATTTTATTTCAAGTTAATTCACACACAGAAGGTGTATGAGAAGTGCTTAATGTAAATTTATATTAACAGATTCTTTCGGCGCTTTCGTGGTAGTTCGGAAATCGGTGGTTACCCTTTCAGCCAACCTGACGATGGAATTCCTTCTTTAAATGTACGCCCAACTAGTGACTCAAGGTCTTTAGCAGCTTCCAAGATCTTTTTGGTCATCTTGGGACTGCCAGAAGCAGCGCGCATACCAACCCAATCCCCTAGCCGGTTCTCCAAATCAACACTCAACACTATTTCCCTTCCATATTTCTTGCTGTGGCTTCCCTTAATTTTGCGTGAAGTGTCGTTTTCGAAATATTGTACCTTTTCTGTGCCTAATACGCGGTAAGTGATTTATTTCTTACTAAAAAAACAGTCTCTTGAAGATTTTCGACCGTATAACTCCTTTCTTTAGCCATTTTTTCAATCGAAGAAACTGATCACTCGGCCAAAACGAAATCAAATTTCAAATCAGCTGCGCATGAAGGATGTACACAAACCGAAGCGCACCTAGCGGCCGTCTTAGGAAACACATAGGTCCAACCATCATCATGCGTAGGTCCAACCATGATCATATTTATCTATTCGAATTTCGTCAATTATTCAAACATTTTAGTGAAACCAATGGATAAATGACGTACTAACGTGTTGTTTACACCTTAAAGCAGTATTTTACTGCATGAAAATAAAAATAAATGTAAAAAATATTCCTTTTTTGTATGTTTGAAAGTAAGGCATGATGACGAGCTAATGCGTGGAAAGTGAACTGTTTTGAAAACACATTGAAACTCAATTGTTTTGAAGTTTTTTCAATAAAACACCCATGCAAATTGAAGAAAAGGAATTTTTTTATGATAGTAAAGTGATCTTTGAAAAAAAAATTAGCGAAGATTGACTAAACTAGCAATTGAAAAAATAGGTCCAACCATCATCAGTTTTTGGATAGGTCCAACCATCATCAGTTACCCTAGTTGCATTGCTTTTCAATAACGACCAATGACTGTTTCATTGATAGATGACATTTTTAGAAATATGAATCCTCGGTAGACGTGTTTTTTTTTTAACAAAGGCAAGTGTCACTTGCCTTAGATAATAAAAAACACGTCTACTGAGGATTCATATTACAAGACCAACAATTTAAATGACCTTAACTACATTTTGTAAACAAACCTTGTAAGGCCATTTTCTCGCGAACCGAAGTCCGCAGAGGCAAACCAACATAATGAACAGGTAGGAGAAATTCTCCCTTACCCGATTGTGGTTTAGGTTTGCGAATGAAGATTTCGGTTCGCGAGAAAATTGCCTTACAAGGTTTGTTTACAAAATGGAGTTAAGGCCATTTCAATTGTTGATCTTGATTTCTAAAAATATCATCTATCAATGAAACAGTCATTGGCAATGAGCTGGACTACCTACCTCAATGACCTCTCTGTAGCTCATTGAATCATTGGTAGTTATTGAAAAGCAGTGCAACTATGATCAGTCAATCTAATTGAAACCTTTATTGGCTCTGTTGTCTTGTGAATTTTAGCTATAACGTCCTCTTTTCTTATTTTTATCTCTCAATCTATGGAATCTACACGAAAACTATGTTTTAACGAAATTGCTAGAACAGGATAAGGAATATTATGCCGTAGACTACACATTTCTATATCATATGGGTGGAAAATTCGTAGAACAAATACTTTAAAATTCTTCACTTTTTAAGATATCTGAATGAAACTAAGTAAAACTCCAATAAAATCACTTTGAATAGGCAACCTTTGGTCATAAAGTTGGTAGATAACACATTAAGCTTTGCTATGAAAGTTGTTACAGCAGTTTTCGTTGTTTCAGTCTCGAGATGCAAATATTATAAGCGGTAAATTACCTAAAAAACATAAAATTAACTTGAAGCACCTCTAAATCATCACCGATTTTGTTGAAAATTTGCACAGAAGTTCAAATTAACATGACGAACAGTAATCACGGTTGACCCGGTGCATTCCGAAAAATTCTGTTAAAATTAACAGGTCTAGTGTATTTCTTCTCCAAGGCTAGTTGAACTAAGTTATTTTAAAATACTTGGTTATTTTAATATTAGAGACAATATTAACTCACAAACTCCACACGTCTGATAGTGAAAAATTCTAAAACTATCTTAACTTCATAATTCTTGATTGTCAATCCATCTAAAAAGCCACATTGATGATTGTGACAACACTCAATATTCTAACATAGCGTGAACTAAAATAGGATTTTTTTACGTTGGGATTCGAGTACTGGTACTGATGCTCATACATATGTAACAGTGTCAATCCAGAATTCGACCGAACAAAACTTTCGCCCAAACAAAGTCATTAGAGTTCAACAATCCCACAATCGACGAAACAACAATAAAGTAATTACTGCCCTCATTGCAAAACAAGTCCCAAACTTCTCGGGAAACAATTTATTCATCATTTTCCCTGTGCCGAAATTATTGTCATTAGGCGTACCAAACCTGATACGTGCATGTCGGATAATCGTCACAGCGAATGGCGGCACTCCACTTACCTTTTTGTTTCAGGATATAGCCCTTCTTCCAGAGCCACCAGGCCAGCACGCTCAGCAGCACGATCGCAAACAGGGTTCCAAAGATGGCACCGGCAATGTCACCTCCGCCGTAGCAGGAAGCCCCCGTCTCACTATCCATCTCGAACCACCACGATCAACCACAGCAAACGGACGAAAAAAGACCTTCGCGTGTCGTCGTTTGACGTCCTCCACCGAGCGTGTGTTCCCTTTGTTCCGAGAAGATTCACGGATTCAAAATAACAGAGATTCACTTCGACACGTTTGGATATTTTTTTTTGTTGCTTTACCACTTTGAATTTTCTTTTCCCCTATCGTGTCCACAATAACAAATTTAGTGTTATTCGCTTCTTTTTATGTGCGTTGGGATTTGGGATACAGGTTTTCTTTTTGAAAATAGTTTTCGGTCCCAAGTTATGCAACCATTATCCGTTTCTTTCTCTCTCTCTCTCTTGCAGAGCACGGTGATTACTATCATTCACATGTATTTTTATCTGTTTTTACTTCAATTGTTTAAATCCCTTGCTGAAACGAGAAAAATCGGAAAAGGAAGAAAACTTCACGTTAGTACCTTGAGATCATTTCATCTTTTTGTTTTGTTTTGATTGTTGCAGCATATAGACATATAGTATATCTCAGCATCAGCGGAGGAACAAAACGATCGGAAATTATAGGTTATTTCATTTCGCACTGTGTTTTCGTTTCGATTGCATTCGGGTGGTTGCGTTGGTAGGTTCCGCGCTTTTTCAACCATGATTGAGTTACATTCACGCGTGTGATTTCTCCCGACAGGCCGTAAGCAGGCAGGCAGGCAGGCAGGCAGCCAGCCAGTCAGACAGACAGTCAGACGAGCAGGCTTTAAATGGTCATGGTGAAAAAATTTACATCTCTCGCAACAATGTTTTTCTTTTCGGGTTTGGGGAGCTACAAAAGAGGCTTATGTTATAATTTTTGGGCGTGAATTGATATGCATTGTTTCGGAGAGGAGTTGCTCACATTGTTGCATAGATGATGTTTGATTCAACGCATGATTATGTAGATATGCATGAGTGTTTATTACGTGGTCCGGTGATCAATGTAACCGGAAGAGATGAAATCATGAAAGGAACTAATGCATCGTCCACAAAATACGTAATGCATGGAGGGTAGACTGATGCGAAATTTGACTTTTTCGCTCCACAGTGCTTAAATGGTTTCAAATCGGGTCCTGATTAGCCTCCCAAAGTTACAACTCATTTGGTTAGGAACAGACTTCGCACAAGCCATTTGAAGTTTACATGTAAATTACTATGGGAAATCTCAACTTTTTGTTCATTGCCTTCTAGTCTTTTTCCATATTGAGCTGCGAAACAGTTCGATAGCCATTCTTATAGAAAATTTTCTCAGCTACAACTTTGCTGAAGAGTTTCTATTTAAACGAGACAGGAAAAAGTTATTAATTATTTAAGAGATTGGTAAACTTATGACATGATCAAGCAGCTGCTCTGTAGGCAACACTGTATTTTGCAGTGTGACATAGTAGCCATGATTTTTGTGTCCTATTCAACGCCCCAGTAACACCAATGTTGCCTACTGAGCAGTTGATTGAGCATGATCATAAGACATCAGCGCATTGAACCATTGATAACTTTCGATTCTTGCATTTAATCAAAAAGTAGTCTTGAGAAAAGTTGTAGCTGGGAAAATTTCCTACAAGTACAGTTGAAAGCTTTTGAAGCAGACCGATATGGTGAATTAAAAGATAGACATGAACAAAAATCTTGGTTTTGCTATAGTAATTCCCATACAAACTTAAAATGGTTTGTGCCATCTCAGTTTCTCACCAAATGGGTTCAAATTTTGAGAGGTTAGTCAGGATCCGATTTGGAATCGTTTAAGTATTGTGGAGCGAAAATTTCAAATTTTGCATCACTCTAATGGAGGTGGTCAAGTTTGCGTTACTTATTCTCTACCCCTACTGGGAAATGTAACGTAACAGATAGACCAAAGTGATGAAAAAATCGATAGCAAAAAAAAATATAATTTGCTGCTAAATAAATCAACACCTGTGGACCCTACCTATCGGCCCATCAGTTCATAGACCGGGGACCAACGGCTTTAAATTCCTTCCGAAGGATGGCATGCCTCACAATCTGCAACAAGTTCCAATGGCTAAGATCGTTCATGAATAGGGTATGCTAAAATGGGTATGAATTCAATTTCACAATTCGAAATTAATTCTGGCTCCGTGGATATTTTCGCATATGAGTAGTCTAGAGATTGTTAGCATTAGCATTAGCATCGAACAAGTGGCACAATATCGTAGGTGGTACGAATTCAAAACTATTAAGAACAAGACGGATATCTATTACTGGACAGATAGTAAGAAGGAAATAATTACTATCTACCAGATAAAGACATATCCCGCTCCAACAGTTAAGGTAGGGATAGGAAAGGTATGTTAGTGCAACATTTACTTAAAAAAGATGCAGAGAACTCTACGACCCCTCATAAATGTCTCGGGAATTTAGGAATCATGTTAGTAGGGAAGGTAAGCCATAGGATACACCCAGTCAGTGTTGCTATTATTTTGAACAATTTTACATGATGTCTCACTTTCCGGTAGGTGCATCCAAAAATTTAATATTTTGTAATCGTAAAATTGAACATATTTGTAGTTCTTTGGCGAAAGTTTCAGCTCAATTGATCATAAGTTAACAAAGTTACATCACTTAAAGTTGACCATTTTGTATGAATATCGGCATGTGCTGCTATTTTATCGAACACAACTGTATGTTGTGTTTTATCATTTTTTTTTGTGAGAGGGGAAAACCCGCGGGAGTGAAGATAATTTTTCTAAATGAGTAGTCTAGAGATTGTTATACTCAAATTCAAAGATAACATCATCTGTAATGGTCTCTGTTGATTGCATGGGCCATCTTTGGTTTAAATTTGATGAATATTGATGAGCATGAAATTATTACAGTAAACATAGTTTACATCACATTAAAATTGAGAAAGTGATCGGAAAACAAAATGCTCCTAGACGACCATTCCCAACAACGCACTAGCTCAGCGATAGATAGCATACGATGCTATACGATTTGCATTGTATGTTCCTCGCAGCAATGAATAAAAAACTCCCAGCTATTTTGTTCAAACAACCATGAATGAACTCTAGTTTCCATACAGCCGTCGTCTATCCTTTCTCTCTATGAAAATATCAAGGAAAAAAATCCCATAACACCGCAACAACAATGTTGGTCCCCCAGCCCAACCGAGCGTTAGTTGGTTATTGTGTCTTGCGGTAAGTGTTTATCATAAATCATCAACTACTTATGTTGATGGTGCCCACTACAATCAACATGGCGCGCACTAACTCCGATCAACAATCTCAATCGGGTTGAAAATTATGAACTGTTCGGTTGAACTCTCCGGTTGCGGTCACTGTCACATATAGCGAAAGTGTTGATAATACAGATTTACCTCTCTTCGGGCTTCCTTCGTGACAAACACCAAAACCTTCGCCATCCAGACCAGACAGCGCCTGACGAAAGAAGAGAAATATTTTCGATTTCTTCATTTCGGAAAAGAAATCGATACATTTCCCGCTCTCTTGCTAGCCGGTCACCATCAGGCCATCATGGCCAGGCGTTGATACTTTCTAAAATATATGTATTCGTATGTATATTTATATTTATATTCGAATGGACTCGTAGTCAGCCAGGAGCCAAGAGGAAGGCCAACAGATGGACCCAACAAACGATACGAAGAAGCGAGTAGGTAAGTGAGTGAGTGAGTGATTGTGGTTTGGTAGTTCAATGTTACGGTCGACAACAGCGACGACGACGATGACGGTGACGCATTCATTTTGCGTCCATTGCCAAGGAAGTGCATAAGGCTGCTTTTATGAGTGCGGTGAAAATGAAAGACTTGAACGTTGGATCGAACCGGGAACGGTGTTTGGCGATGGATTGCAGCTTCCTGTTCTGCAACTTTAATGCCGCATTTAATTGAAGCTCGGAGCTCTATCGGATGTCACCCAATATGTGAATATGGTGCATGAGGGATCATATGTCAGCCGGCGCCGGTGGTGTAGTGGTAAGCGTGACTGCTTTCTAACACCCCGATGGGTCTGGGTTCAATCCCAGCCGAGGTCGGTGGGATTTTTCTGAGGCATAAAAATCTCTGGTCACGTCTTCCTTCGGAAGGGAAGTAAAGCCGTTGGTCCCGGCCCATGTGTGTTGTGAATGGGTGCGATATCCTACGCAGGTGTGGAAGCTGCCTTCCTGCACATTCGATTGCCGTCAATGGATGGCAATCGATGTCCGTCGGTGATTGGCACTAGATTGCGGAACAGAGACCGACGTTAAATAAAGGAATGAATGAAGGGATCATATGTGGGTGGTGGTAAGGAAAGGTAGTATACTTTTTAATGTGGTTTTAGAAATCATTGCATCCACTTAAATACACAACGTTGAAACATATACTTTTAGCGCAGAGTCTACTCGCAATGGAGCAACCCTCACTGTGCACAATTTAAAAACAAAAGTTGAGAATTTTTTTTCAAACAGTCTCATCTATTACCTGGAATATTGCCAAAAACAAGAAACCGATCGGACTAACAGTTTTTGAGTTGAAATTTTCTGAAGATAAGCTTGATATTTTTCTATACGCCCTTTTCAAAAATAAGGCAGGTTTCAAAATGGCGATATGAAGATGCAAAATGACATTGTCGGTCATAAAAAACGTTTCCGAAAATTTTCTACCAAATCAAAAAATACAAAAATCAACAGATTTGCATATTCGTAGGGAATTGCTCAATATATGATTTGAAATGTTTCCGAGAATCAAAGTCTAAATAATGTTCGCCCCGCAAAAGAACAAGACAAGCTTAGCTATTTATATCGACGTATCTGCTTTTGTAAGCAATCACTTCAATCGACGATTTGTGGCAACTGCTAGCTCACTCACAGAATCTAACAACACCAGCTAGTAGGGGAAAGATTCTACTACCTGGTGTTTGTTTGCGAGGGTGAGTTAGCAGTTAAGACAAACCGTCGATTGAAGTGATTGTTTATAAAAGCAGATACGTCGATTTGAATAGTTAAGCTTGAAGTGTTCTTTCAATCCAGCCTTAGTTTAAATAAAAAGTGTTGACTTATACTTCGTTTACTTTCATTCAACTCTTAAACATTTTATTTAGCAATAGTATCAATGTTCATCTATTTTCAAACTATACATGACAGTTTATTTCAGCCCTTGTTTAGCCCTTGAGTTTTATTGAGGTCGACTACGTCTTACGGGAAGGTAGTGGGGGTAAATCGAAAATCTAAAATTGCGACCGCCTCGAAAAGGTGTAAGATTTTGAACGCTTATAACTTTGTAATTTATAGATGAAATTAAAATCCAAATACACCAATCGATAGGAAATACCTTTCGTAAGCTGTTGCAATAATTACGTTTTCAATTTTTCATAAAAAACTGTTTTAAAAATGGACAAATAAAAAGTGATAATTTTATCACTGTTAGAAAATAAACGTTCT